AAAAAACATCCCTTTTAGAAAACACTGGAGCTGCTGTCTGTGCACTGGGCTTTTCCTCCTCCTTCCCTCCCCTCTGCACAAAGCAGCTCTGACTGGCCCCAACCACAACAAATTAATGGGGTGGGAGAGGGAGGTGTGAATGGAGGGGTCTGTACCAAAAGGGGGACGAGTCCCCCCCCTTGTCCCCAGTCCTGCTGGGAGGAGGGAACCCCAAAAAGCAGGAGGAAAAGAGGGTGTTTTTTTACCCAGGGAAAGACCTGGCAGAAAGGGGGTTTGCCCCCTCCTCCCTGCTCTCCCCCATCAGCTTGGGCCACCTCCGTGGTGGTGCTGGGTGCCCAGCAGGTCTGGCACATGCCTGGGATGGGGCAGTGGTGGCTTTGGAAGCACCAGGCTGCAGTGAGCCCCGTGCCACCAGCCATGGCATGCACAGGGTCACAGTGTGCCCAACACCACCACAGACCCACCAGGGCCAGCCCAGCACCTCCCCAGCCCTCAGCAGGGAGGCAGCAACGCCCGTGCCCCTCCCTGGCCAACATTTTCACCTTGTTTTCCCCCAAAATAGGGGTGTTGGCAGCCAGGGTGGGCGCTGGGCACAAAGCTGTGGCACGTGGAGGCAAAGGCCATGAGTGTCCCTGCACGTGGGGCAGCTCACCCCTGCCTTGGGGCATCCGTGGGTCAGAAAGAACCTCCTGGATTCGGTGTGGGGCTGAGGTTTCCACCTCACCTCCCAGCCTCCAGTCCCCAAATGGCCCCCTCAGGGGTCTGCTGCTCCCCCAGACCACGCTCCCCCACCCCTAGGACCACTCAGTCCTTGGATGCTTCCTCCCACCTCAGCTCTGCTTGACCCTTTCTTGGATTTTGGGGCCTTTTGAGCCTTTTCTAGGGACACTCCCCAGGATGGGGCTAGCTCTGTGACAGCTTGGAGGCCAGGAACACACAAAGCTCCCTCTTTGCCCTGCCCCAAGGGCAGCTCCACCTCTGCTCACCCAGCACCACGTCTCAGGAGATGGCTGGGGGGCTAAAGCAAAGCAGATCTACCTCCAAAGCCCCAAAAGGTGGAAAGAAATCCCTCCTGAGGGACGTTCCTCTCCCCGAGCCCTGCACACACCTCACACCTCCTCTGGAGCTCCCCTGTGGACCTGCAGGCAGCAGGGTTGGGTGAGAAAGCAGCTGAATCAAAGCTGCATTGTGTAGGAGGGGAACAAAGGCAGCCTTATTACAGAACTAGGTGGGGATTCTTGGAAGGTTTCCCCCTGCTGCAAAGAAACACGTTGTAAAACAGATGCCCAACGACAGGCTGGAGCTGCCTGGCCCAGGGGAGGGGACCCCAGAGTGCCCAAGGGGGCATGGGGGAGGTGGCAAGGGGGAGAGGAGGTGATGGAGCCCCAGGGTGAAATGTTTAGAGGCATGAGGGTCTCTCAAGTGAGGGAAGTGGGGTGTAAGTGGCAGAGAGAGGGGGTCAGAAGCAGGTGCCCTCTGCTCTGATGGGTCACCTCTATCTAGCTAGAAGACACTTTGCAGACAAGGAGCCCTGGGGCTCACCCTCAGCCTACAAACATGCTCCAAGAAAGAGCAGCCCAGGGGAAGCAACAGTGGACCACAACAGGCTCAGGTATCCTTGGAAGCACCAAGGATCATGAAGCCAACAAACACTGGACCTTGCCCAGCTCTCTGCCCCAGCCTGGTGTACAGCAGAGGTGGTGTCCTCCACAACCTTCTCCAACAGGACAGCTGAGCCCTGCAGTGCTGGGCTGCCCTTGCTTTCCCCTCATCCTTCCCTACACTCAGCCTGCCCGACACTTTGAGGTGCCCAATGCTGCAGCTTGAAGGAAGACCAGGTAAAAAACTGTGACACCCCAGAGGAACCCCACCCAGGAGCAGCTCCTCCTGGCGAGAAACCTCCACGGGCCCTAGGAACACACACCAGGGTTGGAGACCTCCTACCCCAAATCTCTCCCTTGCCAACGGCCAGGGCACCACACTGGGAGTATCCAAAAAAAAAAAAAGAGTTGGCATCTCTGCCTATTTGCAAGGTCAAGGCACAGAAAGCCTTCTATAAGCCTAAACCCTTGTTTTCAAGGGCCTATTCTTTGACCAACTGATTATGAAAGCAGGCTACATATTCTTAACAAGCCCCTTTTCACTCTGGCTTTCAATTCCCTGCAGTGTATAATGTGCATGTGTATTCTTGCATGGCAGGCCCTTACATACTGTTTGGATTGTTATCAGCCTGCCCTGAAAGGGCTGATTGTTTTGGGTTCCCCAGATGACATCAGGGCTCTCCCCCCCCTCCCCAGGGTGGCCCGTGGAGGTGGCAGCTCAGGGTTCCCAGGTGGGAATTGCCCTGGCACTGTGGCCTCAGGTGCCACAGGGCAGTGGGGGGCAAAGGGGGGCTCCTGGGTACCCCAGCACTGCAGGTGCTCACAGCCCTTCAAAGGCCAAATCTGCATGAGCAAAGGGGAGGAGGATGCTCCTCCTGGTTTCATGGAATCCTAGAAGCACTCTGGTGGGAAAGGAGCTCCAGGATTGAGTCCAATCTTCCTCCCAGCATCTCCCTGACCACTAAACCACAGCCTCAAGGGCTGCATCTGCTGGTTTGTTGAACCCCTCCAGGGGTTTTGACTCCACCACCTCCCTGGGCAGCCCCTTCCAGTGCCCGACCACTCTCTCAGGGAAGAAATTCTTCCTGATATCCCATCAAAACCTCCCCTGGCACAACTTGAGGCCATTTCCTCTCGTCTTATCATCACTAATTTAGGAGAAGAGACCAACACCAGCCTCACTCCTCCTCTTAGGGAGTTGTAGAGAGCAATGAGGTCACCTCTCAGTCTCCTCTTCTCCAGCCTAACCAACCCCAGGTCCCTCAGCCAGGTTCCCATGTTTTCCAGCCCTCTCCCCAGCCTCGTTGCCCTTCTCTGGACCTGCTCCAGCCCCTCCATGTCCTCCTCATCCTGGACACAGGACTCAAGGTGGGGTCTCACCAGTGCTGAGTCTGGGGGCACCATCCCCTCCCTACTCCTGCTGGACCCCCCCATTTCTGATCCAGGATGCCATGTTTGCCCTGTGAGAATTCATCTCAGACCCTCAAAACCATGAAAAATAAGAGAAAAAAAAGAGATATAAACCTATCACACTTCCTCCTCTTGAGGGCAGCCACCAGGAGAACCACAAAGGCACAAAAAGGGGCAGAGTTTGGAGCAGAAGCTGCTCCCAGGAACAGGGAAGGTCCTGTCAGGGCTCTGCTGGAGCCCTGCGTGGTGGGCACCACCCCAGAGGACGTGGACCCTCTGTCCTGGTGCTCAGGAGCCACTTCCAGCCCTCTTCCCACCCCTTCCCTCCCTCTCCCTGTTCTCCAAGCCACGTGTCACCCAGGCTGTGCCACTTCTGCTCTCCTGGCCCCTCGCCAGCCTCCACCAGGCACCACTCAGGATCCACCAGGCAGCCAAAATTTACCATTTGAGGCAATTTTACCCTTCATTTATCCCAAAGAGGTGGGAGGCTAAGCTCCAAGTTGTAAAACCTGCTCTCCCCTCGGCCTGCAGCAGCCTGGAGGTGAACTTCAGCTGAAGAGCAAAGGGATTCTCCTGCTCTCCTGGCATCCCAGGATGGGGCTGGCACCTTCCT